TGTGTCATCTTATCATTGGGGCACACCTATAAAAAATATTAAAAATAATTTTTCAATAAAATATAATAATCAAAATATCCCTTTAATCTTTAAGGGGTATTTTAGTCATTTTTTTATTGAAAATATTTTTTTTATATTTTTCACTAGTGCGAGTTTAATAGAGGATTGGACATACAAAATTTGGTATCAAAATAGTTTATAGAAAATAAAAATAAAAAAAAATAGTGTAGAGACGTGACATTATACTTGGGGCAATCTTAGCCCTCCATTTAGAATAGATTGTTGGATAAGGAAAAGTATATAAGTTTTATATTGTAGGAAAAGTATAAAATGCTTGCCGATATAGATATACATACTCTAATAATGGTTGAGATTATCGAACTCTAAAATTTTAGGCCCCATCTCGAGCATGGACTTTTGAATGGGACCGCAATTATCAAGTTTGTTGGCTATGCAACAAAACCTCATCCCTTAATTAACTATAAACCTAAATAAGGCTTGGTGTTCCGATTCATGAGAAATTACATTTGAAAGTTTCAAATAAACCAATGTTTGATTTAGTTTGGAGATTCAAACAACTTTGAAATCGGCTTGAATCTATTAAGTATTGAAGTGGACGATAAGGGTTTCAAAAAATAAGTGGATCTTATGTTATTAGGTTTGTTGGTCCTAATTGTTGGGTTTATGTGACCTTTAAAGACTTTATGAGAGCTTGTATGAGCATTTTATATAGTGGAACATTAACTCAGTGGGAGTGTGGTCCTTTTGTAGACCATACTAGGTAAATGTTATACTCGGACTAGGCTCGACGAGCTAGGCCAAGCGAGGTTTGAAAAACCTAAGATACCTGGGCATAAGGATCTATCGAGAAGGGTTGGGTTATCTCTTGATGAGGTCGGAGTACGCTTAGATGAAGGCCAAGGGACTGTGTGGCCTGTGTGGCCCTTGTGTGTGATGTATAGCATTTAGAGACAGGGCTAAAACATCATCGTTATATCATCATAATACATACATAGATAGCCATTTTGAGATTCACCAATGAAGGTGAAGTTTGTACATGTACAAGAGATTACCCCTATGCACCATAGAATCATAGTTGCATCATGGTCTGGAGGACTATGATTTTTTTCTCTAAGGGAGACCTGAAATATATAAACTGGGATTGCGTCCTCTAGCCTATTGACTGACTTTGATGGTCCAATCATGAACCCCTGCAATGGACCGTGGGTCATGGGAACTGTTGGGTCAGTTTCAGAAAGCTAGGTGGATCGTGATTCACAGTTGAAGGTGGAGTGCTCCCATGTATTGATAATTTTTTAGATTTAACAGATCCGATTCCCATCAAAATTAATTAATTTTAATTAATTTTATGTTATGTAATTTTTAGAATATTTATTTGAATTTTTGTGAATCTTTTGGTATTCTTTTTTTATCATTTGAATTTATAAATTAAGCTAAATTAATTCAATGTTTTAAATAAGATATAAGATTTAAAAATTCTTAATATGAAATAAAATATTTTCTAAAAGTATTTGGGACCTCCATAAAATATTAGGTGGGGCCACACGTGACCACCAAAAGAGTGGCACGCCCCCACTCTTGGTTGCCTTGTGTTTTTAAGTATAGCCAACTTATGCGATAAGGTTGAATATTTAAGACATTTACTAAATATTTTCATCTTTGTTGAGCTAATAATTAAAGATTGGATATAAAATATAAGTTTTTCTTATTTGATGGGAATATATTTAGGAAAGGGAGGATAAGGCTCTAGCTCATATCTTTGAATCTTGATGGTGGATCAAATAGATTGATGGCTCAAATCTCTCACCCCACAAGTCTCTTTAGATCGACGGTTGAGATTTGACCCTACGAATTGAAGTAAAATCTATGACATAGAAAATCTATAGCAAAAGGTCTCTCCTACCCAAAATTCCCCTCCCTTCCAAAAAGGAGGCATGCCCCAATTTTTATCTCTCTCTAAGTTGCACTATATTTTAGCACCACCTCTGTTCTTTGTGGGTGGCAAAGGGATGGAACTCCTTATCAGTAGATCTCTCCATCTCTCTTCATATTCATCTCTCATCTCTCTAAAATCAAGTTAAGAGGCTTGATAAAGATTAAGCCATTGAGTGGATTTTTGTCATAGTAAGGAAATCAACATACCAATTAGATCCCGAGCACCATCGAAAGAGTAAACTCCGCGTGGGGTGTATTAAGCCCGGTTGAGGTAATCTACGACAATTTTATCTTTTTAAATATTTATTTTTCTTCTCATAAAACATTAAAGTCTACTCTTTGTTTCTTGAATAAAGAATTGTATTTGAAGAGGCAGCAATTGAGAATCGATTTTATTTTTATTTTATTTATTTCAACAGTGGTTTGATTATAATTGGACATTGTAAGTGATCTTGTCGGTGTAGAGGTAAAGAATTTTTTTAAAATATATACATTGTGCTTTATCATAAAGTCCTTTCATTAATTATGGCTTATCTTTAGGTTTTCAATGAATAAATCAAGCTATCAACATGCTAATTGGATTTGAACTAATTTCTTTTCAATATACATTTACAAGTGGGGTAAATAAATAAGGGTGTGGTATCTATAAGGTTGCAACCTAAATATCCAATTAAGGCGCACCTCCAAATTTATCATAATATGTAATGTTGATGTAAAAAAGTATTAGGATTATCTTAAAATCTATTTTCATATCTAATTATAAAATTTTAAACTCCAAAAACAGTTAAAATCAAGTAGATCTATAAACATATGAAAATCTTGAAAATAGACGGTCTAGATAATGTATTGCAAGAGGCACTATTTTTGAGCTCAAAATCTTTTCTTTTTTCGTTTTTCTTTTTTTTTCATATTTATATATCTCAATATCGAGATGATTGGTATGTCTCTCCCTCTCTCTCTCCTATTAATGTCGTCCAAAATGCATCGAATACTCACAATATCAAAGGCACATCACCTGACCAATAACTCATAAATCCTTGAAGAATTCTGTAGTGAAGAACCAACTGATGAAGTTTTGACAATTTAAAGATGTAGAGGCATAAATTGATCAAGGAATCATGTTCTTTCAATGAAATATTGATAAAAAAAAATCAAAATCAAAATATGAAGAAATTAAAATCTTAGAAGTAATTCAACATGCAAAGTTTTGAATTGTGAAGGAAGAATCACCTAACCAAGGTGAGCTCTTCGAAATTTACATTTGAATATTTAAACTTTTGATCAGTGGTGATTAGATAAGATTAAGCCAACACACCTTTTCTTCTTTGGTGAGATTCTAACAAAGAAGCACTATCAGATTGAAGGATCAAAAGTCATAAATATTAGATTTGTTGGCCCCAATAATCATCAAATAGGTTGATATTCACTCAAGTCTACAAGTTGTAATTTATTGTAATTAAGCTCAAAAGATGTGGAATAGAGTTGAATGAGGCTTTTAAGTTATCTCCATCATGCAAAAAGTTCCAAAGAAAATAAAACATGAGAAGATTAATGTTGATTTTGTCAACTGTAATGTCATTTTCATATAGAAAAAGAAAATTGACTTCAGGAAGAGAAAGATGATGCCATAGAATTCAATTGTTCACAGATTTCTAGTCTAAAATTAAACTTGTTTAAAACGTTGTTGAGAATAAGGACAAGAGTCAAAATAAAAAGTATTCTACAATCCAAAAAGAAGGTAACCAAATATGACAATCTAATACCAACAAAAAGAAAGAAAAATTCTACACCTATAAGATGGTCATTAGCATATACAATGCCAAATATGACTAGGGAAGAAGAAAAGCAATTGGCTACAGCCACCGAGTCGGTTAATGGATAGATCCATTTGCTAATGTCTCTAACAATCGTGACCTCTTCAAGACCGTTGGGGAAGAGAAGTCAATACAACTAGACAACTAGAAACCTAGGCATTAGTTAGATACGTGATGAGTTTGGTGGTCCTTATGATAAATTTATTTTGTTTAAAAATGTCGTTTCAGTGTCAAAAATCTTATGATAGTTTGAAAATCTATTTTCATCCCTCATTATAAAATTTAAAGTTTCAATAATGGTATAGATTGAGCATATAAATAAACATTTAGAAATCTTAAAAATTGACGGTCCAAATAATTTGTTAGAAGATACACTATTTTTTGAGCTTGAATTTTGTTTTCCCTTCAAATCCATATATGTTGAGGTCAGATGATCAATTGGAGAGTTCTCCAACACTAGAAAACTCTCTTCTGTGGAGGTTTTGAGTTGCATCCTACTTCAACCGTGTAAGGTTCCATAATTAAAACCACGACAATGTAGTGAAGCCCTTAAACCCTAAAGCTAATTAATAAATGGAACTGGAAGTTTGTCTACCGTAAAACTTCAGCTCATTGTTAGGATGGTTTGAGTCCCAGGGTAAGATGTACTCGATCACGGATTGCAATTCACCAATTCTTCGCCTAAATTTAGTTCTAAAACAATTGCACCACTGAGTTGTAAAAATTTAGTAAATCGCCAAACCCAAATTTCTATGAAATATGAACTATGGTCACCGGTGACAGTGAGTCATGTGACCGCAGGTGCAGTCAAATTATGTGTCAATGCATTCAAACTATTGGTATAATAAAAGCGATTGTCTACAAAGAGACCATTTATTTTCTGTAGGCCACAATCATTACCACTCGTTAGGTATCAATTTAGATGGCTTGAAATGAATTACGAAATCCGAAAAAAAAAAATTTTTTTTTAACTTTATCTGTTTAAGAATAATTGTGACCTCCATGTACAAAAGATAAATTCCCTTTGCAGATAATCCCACAACATAAAATAATTAGTGAAAAACTCAATCTTGTCACAATTTGAGCAACATGATTGAAATGCAAGCACTCACACATTCCATCAAAATATACCTAAAACTCAACTGTACTAATTGGCAAACTTTGCAGGGTCTCTTGACTGAAGTACAGCCTCAAGATTTTGCTCCTTTCATTCAAACAAACAAAGATCGACACCCCAAAGTTGAGTCCAAATTCAGATTTCAGCTGAACTTTTAGATAGTAGTGTTGCCCAAGTCCAAGACACCAAGCCAACAGCTTCTACATATAAAAACCCAGAGGAGTATCATAATATATATTTCATTTATCAACCATAAACCACAATAAAATTGTCTTCACAACAACCATAAACGCTGCCTGAGCACATAAATAACAAAAAGAAAACCACTAGATCTTTCTACTCCTCAGTGATCCAAAGTTGGATTTGAACCACCATCTCCTCTCTTTGGTACTCTTTGTCAACTTTCTTCATAAATATTCCTCTCTACTTCCTGAGAGCACTAACCAGTGTTCTGAAGTCCGGCAGCAATACCCTTCATGGTCAATATGAGGGTATCCTCAAGGCCTGGAGCATACTCACTAGTGGGGTTGAGCTTAACAAGCTCAGCAGCAGGCTTGCTCGAGTCCACGATTTCCTTAGAGAGATGTGGCCTCACCTTCACACTGTAGCTAGGGTCTCGGATCCGTCTCAGAGTATAAGCTTGGCATACATTGAGAGTCGTGATATACGAATCTCGAAGCCTCAGCCTTTGCTTCAAGTAGGGGTCCCCTTCAAGGAGATCCTTATGGGCTGCAACCTATGAGCACAAAACCAATACAAATTTTAGCAATAGCTATAAATAAAATAAACGTTCCGATAAATTCACCAACAAAAGGAAAGATAATTTCAATTGGTTTTTTAAGTACATTTTTATATAGTTTAAAACAACGTTATTTATACATTAAAACCTCATAAAATACAAGAAAAACATTTAGAAAAGACTACGGCCATAGGATTCCTGAGAGAATTATGAATATTTGCAAAAGCTTACATCGGTGAGCTGGAAGATACCTAAAAACAGGGTTAACAACTAAACTTGGGAGTTCCTTTTGAAGCACAGCTCATTAAAGGTTACAATGTTTTGGTTAATTTGTGGGAAGTATGAAAATTGTATTAAAACTTCTGGAGTTCCCCATATTGTGGATTTCTTGTGACGTCTTAAATAGCAAAATGCATTCATCTTTGAAAAGACATTTTCAACCTAAGAATAGCAAACGATCAAGTTACTACTAACATTTCAAGGAAACCATAATAACTTGAGTCTATAAGAATTGATTATTGAGAAAAACTAATCATTACCTGCAGGAGCAAGCTCTTAGTTTCTTCATAGTGCACTCTCAATTTCTCACCAAAGGACCAGAGATCTTCTGATACCAGCATCTTATCATACAAAGCAGCAATTCCTGGGTCTCCCTTGGCGAAAACCATCTCCACCAAGTCAATGGTGACCCTGAAAAATGGCCACTCATTGTACATCTCTTGCAGCATGTGCAGGTTTCGGATGTCCTTCTGCAAGACATGTTTAAACGCTGCCCCAAATCCAAGCCACACGGGAAGGTGGAACCTCGTTTGCGTCCAAGCAAATATCCAGGGGATAGCACGCAGAGATTCGATTCCTCCACTTGGTTTTCTTTTTGAAGGACGGCTCCCAATATTCATTCGTCCATACTCCAATTCCGGAGTAGCCTGAAGAGTTAAGAAGTAAAAGTGAATGATAAATAATGGCAATACTCCAAATTTTTACCAAATGAAAAAGATATAATGGAAATTTTGTCCAAAAAAAATATATCTTCAATTATACAAGAATGGGTTACATGCATGTGATACTCTCTGAGTGAACAGGGAAGAGCAAGGATAACTATCAACAATATTGGTTTTTCAAAGTAATTATGAGTACGAAACATTCAAAAATTAGGAGTACCAAACATCAAGGCGGGTTATTCAGTGCACAGAAAACACAAAAGCTGTTGTTATTTTTTTAACCTATTCTGATGAATATCCAAAGACAGTGTACTATATCTCTCGTGGCTGGTTGGCTAGAAAAACAACACTACATTGAGAACTAAGGTTTTTCCCTGGGAGAAACAAGAAAGGACATGGGCAAAAGAAAATGAGACGTTCACTAAAACAAACTACCACTAATTTCTTCATAGACAGATATTTTCTCAAATTGTAAATATGCTTCAATTTACAAACAATCAAGAAAAATATGGTTCAATGCTAGAACTTCTATAGATCGTTTGGTCATCTAACCAAAAAGTTTTTTTTCTTTTGTTTTTTTTTTTTTGCCATTTCTAAATCTCTATATTTGGCCACCTACAAAAAGCTTTTACATGCACAACATTGAATGTTTGGGTTACTCTCTGAAGGTAACCTGAATTTAAACCTATAGTGATTCATTTACAATACTTCAACCATCCAAATAGAAACTAAATCACTGAAAATTAGGAAAATATAATATAATACAATGGACTATGACGTACTAATAATTCATTCTGGTCATCGCCATCCGATGAAATGATGGATACTGATGGAGAGGTAGTGGGACTCACCAGAATGGTACACAAACCCAATCATGGGTTTCACTCCCCTTCCATTACTGTTCATCATTTTAATAAGAAGTTGATGACCACATGGACCAACAGTTTTCCGTAGTCCACTGAATAATAGTACACTTTCCCTAGAATCTAAAACTATTTAAAATATAGCCTTCAGATGATCAGTGATGGGGGCAACTTACAAGTCGGAAATATTCGACAAACCGAGGCTCCTTAAAAACAATGGACCGATACTCTTCTGTGGCCACAACAGCCATCTCGTCCATCAAGGCTCGCCACTCTGGCTTCGGTGAGATTGGAGGGCGCATACCATGCTCAAGCGTGGCCGCGGTGAACCTCTGCAAGGTCCTAAAGCATAGATGCTCCTCACCGAATGACTGCTCTATAACCTCTCCTTGCACCGTCACCCTTAGTGACCCATGAATTGTATCAGGTGGCTGAGACAATATAGCAAGATGAGTTGGGCCACCACCCCTTCCCACTGTGCCCCCTCGCCCATGAAACATAGTAAGCTTCACTCCATATTGCTTTGCTACATTTATAAGCTCAACCTGAGCCTTATAAAGCGCCCACGCAGCAGAGAGACGACCAGCATCCTTGCCTGAATCTGAATACCCAATCATAACCTCTTGCTTCCCATTTATTCGGTTAAGATACCAATCAATTGAGAAGAGCCTTGCAAGTGCAGCAGGGGCAGCCTCTAGATCATCTAGCTTCTCGAAAAGAGGCACAACTCTCAAAGGATTCTTTACTCGACACTCTCGTTGCAAGAGCTCAACTGCAAGCACATCTGATGGTGAAGTAGCCATTGAGATGATGTAGGCCCCAAAACTATCAGATGGGAGCTCAGATATGACATGGAATGTGTCCAAGACGTCGGTGATCTCCTCGGTCTTGGGGAGATCAGGACCGAATAGTGGGCGTTTTCCCCTCAGCTCCAACAAAAGCCACTCTTGGCGCTGTTCCTCGGACCATTCTCGGTATGACCCAATGCCGAGGTGCTGAGTGATCGCATCCATGACATCGGTGTGGCGATCCGACTCTTGCCTTATGTCGAGTCTCACAAGGGAGAGGCCAAACGTGGATACCTGGCGCATGAAGTCGAGGAGGCTTCCATCTGCAATGGGTCGGTCACCCACTGAACATAAAGATCGGTAACAGAGCTCAAGGGGTTCTAGGAACTGTGGATAAAACATCCATTAGTAATTTTCTTAACATTTAGCACATGAACAACACTAGGATTAAGGCATAGTTGATGTAAGCTATTCATTTGACAAGTAGCCTCCGATTCTTATTTATATTATGCAGAAATCATGAAGTGCACTTAATGGAAAAATCAAATAATAAGTAGTGGTTGTATTGGTTTGCACGTTGCAGAAAGACAAGGAGGATTTTTTATGGAATTCTAGTCTCTGCTATGAACTGCCTAGTGAAAAATTAAATAGACAAATAGATATGCAAGACAGAGAGTGACCTGTTCCAGGTTGGTATATGTTGCTTCCTCAGGAATATCGGATGTTCCACTTGCTAACAAGTGGCGTGAACGCTCACGAGTGTTATAGAGTTTGTCCCTTACATCTCCGAGTATAACACGGTAGGGCTCGTTAGGAGGAATTTGTTTCCAGAACTCTGCACTCAAAACATTTGCCAAATTGCATATCAGAGAAAACATTACCAGATGGCAAGTGACAGCTTAATTAGAACAAAAAGCCTCATAACATTCAAGGAACATTATACAAGCTTAGACAGACTACCAATGCCCACCCTCCCTCCCTCAAAGATGTGAGTTGGAATTGGAACCCCAGTGGCCTAAGAAAGGCAGGGATCTACTCCACAAGGCCACTTATTAGGTACTGGGTTAATGCCCATGCCCAAGAACACTATAGACCTTTACTATAATGGATGAATTCTCATGACTTACCGATATAATGCTTCGCATCTTTCCTCGAAGAACTATGCAGCTCATGAGCACGAACACGAAGCTCATCAGTGGAACGCCACATGGACAACTACAAGAGAGTAAGCATACATCATGTAACCATATGATCTCATCCAGCCATTTAAAATGTCCATTTTATCACTATCTTGTTATATACTATCAGATGCAGCAAAAATTTCAACATAATATTGAAGCAAAGAGACAGAAAACTTATGACGCTCTCAATACCTCGAACATAAGATCCTCAATTTGAGAAAAGTACAGATTAGCAGCCATCATTCGTGCCAGCAAGCACACATCCCTTGTAACCTCAGGAGTTACTCTGGGGTTTCCTGAAACGGAAAATACCTAAATGTCACAAAAATACCATGACAAAAATTGCCAGCTATTGTATCAAAGAAGCCTCAGTAGTGATCTGTTTATAACTCAGGAGGTGAACTTCTGAGCTCGTAGGAGATGGATTTTCAAGAACATAACGAAGCATGCCTTGAAATGAATAAAAACAACCACTCAAGGAAATTTCTATACCATAAATATATAATTTGCAGAAAATTGGAACAAAAAAATCCCCTTAAACTTAATTAAAGTCAAAGGACTTCAAGGAAAGATACATGATTCCTTCTCTTTGCATCATTTTCAAATAACTGGTCACTAAATAGTCAAATATGTTACATAAATATGTAAAGAGAGGACCAATTCATCAAGTATGCTGCCAAATAGTATATTACCATCACGGTCACCTCCCATCCAAGATGAAAATTGAATGAGAGGGGCATTATATGGCACGCGTTCATTAATCCCTATATTCTTCAAAGCAGTGTCAACCCGACGCAAAAACTTGGGGACACCTTTCCATATTGTTTCATGGAAATAACTCATCCCAGCACGCATTTCGTCTTGTGGAGTTGGAGGAGTTCGGCGGATTTCATCAGTTCGAAATGCAGCTTGAATCTAAAAACATGGAAAGAAATTTCACTCGAAGAATTCATCAAAAACCTTACAGACAATGTCATAGATGGGAACAGTAACATACAATATAAAAGAAGGAAATCCTCGGGGCCAATAGATGCAGGTTTTACCAATAAACATGCCAGCATGACAACATGGGGATTAGATATTATTTATTTATCTATTTATTTATTTGTTATTACTTCCCATATTATAGATCGGATCTAACAAGTCAGACAGGTTTGGACTGGAGCAAACTGGACTGGACTGGACGAAACTGGACTCCATTGTGGTTTGCCAACTGACCCAGTCCCAAAATACCATTGGTTCAAGCAACACCTACTACAGAGTTGAAATTTAACAACTAAAAGACCAGTAAGAAATCTAAATTGGAGATTCCATAAGGTATAATTAATCCTTGAGAAACTAACTGTAAGACAATTTGCATGACAAAAAGCTAGCACGACCAGATCCTTCTTTGTACACAGTAGCTGCAGAATCTAAGCACTGCAACTATGTAATGGATAGCAAAAACCACACGGAAAGACCTTAAACTTGATATAAAAATCACTGAAACTCGGTCAAATATCAGCTGCATGAGTAATATGATAGTTTGTGTATCTCGACCGTGAAGCTAAACATACCTCTCTCTGTAGAGCTTCATCAAGCTCCTGCTTCTCATCAGGAGTGATGTCCTTGGCATACAACTGGGTCAAACAATTCCGTATCCTGCAGATTAGTAAAGTCAGTCACTTCATTAGTTCATTTAACAATATGAATTAAAACAGGTTAGAAAGAATGGCAGAACACAACCAGAATATCATTTCTATCTAACCATTTTTTGAGATTATAATTCCAATACATGGAGCAAAGCATTTCCAACAGATTATAACCAGGACAGGTTGTAAACACAACCTGGCACACCAAACATAAAGAAAGAATACAAGACACAAACTATGAAGTGTGGATATCAGAAATCTTCATAAATATCAATTAAAACTTACAAGTAAAAGATTATAACATTTGACCCTCACTTTCCGATGGGTTCAATGCGATAAGAACTATTAATTATTTCAAAACCATATGAGAAAGGTCATATAAATTGTAGAGAAACATTACAATAAAAGTGAACAGAAAGCAAGAAAGAAAATCCGTTTGTTCAGCTCTTTCAATATAAAAAAGGATGACAAAGGTAGTTGACTTCCATAGCAAACTTACAGATAGGGTTCCAATAAGAAAAGACAGTATGAAACAAACCTCGCATGCTTCTGAAGCAGTGACCTTCGGATCGACTGAGTGGGGTGGGCTGTGAAGACCAGATCAACAGTCTGGTTCTTCAGCGCATCAAAAACTTCTTCAGGGGACTTCTTCAGCTGAACCACCAACCTCTTCAGAGTCTCCTCAATGTCAGATTCGGTTGTTGCAGAGTTCTCATCAGCAAAGTCTCCCTTCTTAAGCTTGATCCTCCTCCTATAAGCAATCTGAACCTCTTCGGCCAAGTTGGCCAAGTTAAGCATGTGTGAGAAGGAGCTAGCAACAACAATGGAATCCCCAGGATCCAAACTAGTCAACACACTCCCCAGCTCTTCCAACTTTCGAGGGTCATGCTTCCCCTCATACTCAGCAGAATGCTCATAGCACTCTTGAACCTAGAGAAACAAAAAAAACAAAAACATAAAAGATTAACTAACTCAACTGATCCATAATGGATAAATCGCATAGTTTCACATCCCAACTGATGAGGTTACCACCAAATAAAACACTCGACGTACAGTCTCTTTCATCGATTCGAAAATTATCTTTCCATAAAGAACATAGCTTCAATGTCTCAACCTACGGACCACTAACATAAGAGAAAAGAGACAACTGAGGGCAATTGCTGCCCAAAAATCAGAACAAGGCCAGTTCCATCAATAAAGAAGAATTATTCATTGCGGAAAGATGCCATATATATGCATTAATCAGCAAAGCATATGGGTTTCAGCCTCACTGAAAATAACAATTCAATCAGAATAATATGAAGAAGAAAACATGGGTTTCAAGAGCATACCGTCTCCCTTAGATCTTCTCCATGTAGATCCTGAAGGACGTCGAGAAATCGATCCAAGAGGAGAGCATCATATTCAACTAATTTGTCATCCTCAGAGACCTTTGCAGGTACAAGGAGCCTCAACTGCGCATCAATTGATGCAAGCTTTACTAACGAGTTCTTCGACATCTCCCTTCCAATCAACAAGGTGCAGACGCAAATTTGGATGCAATATATCCACACTCCCCCAAAGATTGACTATATATATATAAATAAAACCCTGCAAAAAATAAAAACAGAGTTTTTTTAAAAGAAAAAACAAACGAAAATAACAAAGAAAAGCTAACACACTAAAGGTTAGGTATCACGGACAGAGCTAAACATCCCCAATCATTACCACCCACCGATAAAGAAGCCACCGGTAAACACCCAAATATAGAGAATGGTAACCACAAGAAGGTCTATATATAATTAAAAATGCAATTTTAAAATAAATTAATTAATTAATTAAAAAAACCAGACCCACAAATTAAAAAAAAAAAAAGCCAGAGGAAAAATTAAAGAGGATCCATAACATGAACGCCATGTGAAATTTAATATGATATAAAGAAAAGAGAAAGAGACTAGAAATTTAAGTTGTGATACAGTCGATTCATAAGGAATCCGAGAATTATCAGAACTTTAGTACTGTCACGAGTGTAGTGGATGCCTAAAGAGATTGAAAAACCATTTGAAGATCACATTAACGGGGTTTTTTACCTGATGAAAAAGCTTTATAAAATACCACAATGCCGTTTCTCTTTATGATTCTTCACGCTGCAACCCAAGAGCTTTGAGCAGAGGGCAGACGTTAAATAGAGACTGTAAAGTCAGCAGCTATAGAGAATATCCCAAAACTTATACCATGTCCCTGTTGGCTTCTCGTAATTTTCCACCGCCCAAATTTTATAAGTTTAGTAAGGTAAATGTAATATAAATAAATAAATAAATAAATAAAACAAAAAAAATTTTATATAACGTTACAACTTTAAAATGTAGAATTATCGATGGGTTAAAAAATCCATAAGTTGTTTTAATATTGAAAAGTTGATCATCTCGACATTGAGATGTAGAAATAAAACTAAAAATAAAAAAAAATAAAAAGATTTTGAATCTTAAAAATAGTGCATCTTGCAACACATTATCTAAACGGTTCATTTTCAAGGTTTCAAAATATTTATATATCTACATGATTTTAACTATTTTTGAGATTTAAAATTTTATAATTAAATATAAAAATAGATTTTCAGATAATCTTAATAATTTTTTATATCAAAATTTTAGACGTGCACTTTAATTGGATTGTTTAAAATTACTACCTTATAAAACCCACATCCAAGAAACAATAATCCAATTCCTTAATATTATGCAAGTATGCAAGAGAGAACTTTACATGCTCCATCACCGACATATAAAATACATAGAACACATGTGAGCCCTGCTTTGAGCCATCTAATCTAAATAGATTATCAGGATAGCTTCAATGACAATATAATGTTTGCCCCCTTTGCATAGATGAATTTTGTATGAAATTTGGGTATGCCGTCACCTTATTGTGATATACCAAAAAAATATAATTAAAAATGACAAAAAATAATATTGTAAATTAATTTAAGGAAATTTGTTTCATGCATGTTGGACCGCATTTCTTTATATGCAGTCCAAATAGTATAAAACATCCATTTTAAAGATGGATGAAAGTAGGCGTTCCATCTAAAAACATTGGAAACTATCGGTTCAAATGTTTTTTTTATTAGAATTATTATTTTTAGTTCTTAAAATTTATTTATTTATTCATATTCATAATATCCATGCTAGAGATTACATGTCCTTAATAATCAAGTCTTAAAAACCATCTCAAAAATAAGTTTATTTTGAGGCCCGCATTACTACATATGCGGGCTTGGCTACATAAAAACCAAGTACTTATATTTGGGAATCAAAACAAGTTATTCTAATGAAATTTTTTAGTTGCACCCTAATTCGATTGTTTAGAGCCTCGCATTTTTATAAAAAAAAAATTATAAATTTATAGCTTATTACGATGAAAGTAAAAAAAAAAAATCTTTTTTTTTCTCTCATTTTTGTGATCTAATAAAAGGGTACATGATAAAATCAAATTTTCCTTCTGCTCAAACCACCCAAGCTCTCCTCTCACCACACACGTAAAGGTCCATCTCTCTCTCTCTCTCTCTCTCTCTCTGCATCTGATAACTGGGATATCTAGTGCTTGAACCTTCCATGCAATTTTGTGTCTAAAGTTCTGTACTTTTGATCTCCATTAATGGGAGGCCTGAGCTCTTTTTTTTTTTTTAGACAAACTTAAGAAATTAACCCTACTCAAGAACCTCTAAATAAACTTAAGAATTTTTCATTGGAAAATTGTTTCAGGCGGGCTGGACTGCATTCCTACTTATGTGGTCCAGAAATATAAAACATCCATCTTAAAGATGGATGCAAATATGTAGTCCATCTAAAAAAATTGAAATTAACTCTCTAAATGTTTTTTTAATAGAACTATTATTTCTAATTTAAAAATTTATTTATCTATTCATATTCATGATCTCCATGTTAGAGGTCACATATCCTTCAAAATTACGTCCAAAAATCCACCTCAAGAATAGAATTATTAAGCGGCCCGTATTTCCACATCCTGCATGCTAACCGCATCCTTTTTCATTTATTTTACTCAACAATTCTATTAAAAAATAAATAAATAAATGAGAACCACCTTTCAGGGAAGAAATTGAAAATAAACATAGTCTCAAATTCCAACAATTTTTCCCCAAAAAAGAATTAATAGAAACAACACATACCATAACAATTTCTATATTAAATGGTTTTTCACCATTAAAGAACAGAAACTTCAAGTCAGAGAGGTTGTTTTCAAAGATTCAACTTATCAAACTAAACCCTTAATTATCAAGTCGCTTCACAATGCCATCACCTCAATAATAACAATTTATAAAAGGATCAAGCACTGTTTTGTCTCCCATGAAGGTATTCAACCAATAGAGTTAGATGAGACGTACCTTTCTCTCTCTCTATCTCTCTCTCTCTCTCTCTCTTGATTTCCGTTGGAAATTGACGGTTTTTTAAAAGGCAGCCTCGATTTCGCTGCGCGTGCAGGATTTTTCAAACCCTGAGGGCTTATTATATAGGTGGTTCTGCAATTATTGGATCTTATCGTATTAGCTTATCGGAAACGCTGGAAACGTGGGACGGCATATCTAATGCTTTTTTGGTTTCGATCCAGAAAATGATGATAAGCTCCTTGACGTCTCAAATTGGGAACGTTATTTTTATTATTTAAGTAATAAAATTAGAGGAGAAACCGAGAAACGAAAGAAGAGTCAGTATTTGTGAGACAAACTATTATCCTCATTATTTGGATAAATGACTATGTGATCCTTGATATCTAACAGAGACCGGTTCTGACATGTGTCGCGATGGGTTTGGCCAGCCATGGATCCTAGTCCCTATACAGCGCCAGCCCGACTCTAGATTTACGCGGGCCGAAGACACCATAGCGTAGGACCCAACCATAGCTTTGTAGGGCTGGGCAATGCGAGGTTCAACCAGATACAACAAAAAGTAAACAAAATAAGAAATTAAGAAGAAAAAACTGAACCAAGTTGGTCGGGTTGTGAACCTACCGAGGCATGGCCAGCCCGATCCTTGGGCTTTGGTGGCCTAACCTTGACCTACCAGTCCATTAACCATGAAAAATGAGTAAGGGCCCACTAAATTACCCCAAAATAGATTTAATTAAACTAACTCAAGATCGTTCACTGGCCAATCCCGATCATGCCCGATTCCAGGGGTGGCCGATATGTGTATTGTCACAATGCAGAGTCTGCAAAACTATCTTTATAATATTTTTTTATATATTTCTTCATCTTCTTTTATGTTCTTCTATGGATACGGTTTCCATGCTGTCAGCCCGCATATTATAGAAATGCGGGCTTGGGGTTATGAAGAACATGAATAGAACTCGGGGTTATGAAGAACATGAATATGAAAAATAATAATAATTTGAACACTAAAATGAAAATAATTATATTAAAAAAATATTTGGATAGTTAGTTACATTAGTTTTTTGATGGACTCCCTATTTGCATCCATCTTTCATATCGATGTTTTATACCTCTGGACCACCGTATTTGTAGAAATGTCATCCACCCATATGAGATAATTTTCCTTTTCCTATTTTTCTACTTAAAACTTTATATATTATTACAAATTTTTTATTTGCTAATTGCATGGTTTGCCACTTTCGGCAAGTAGACTCACACACCAGAGTTGGTCAGGCACAACCATAGGTAGCAAGTCACCTATTTAATAGTGACTTTTTCAAAAAATTAGCTTTTTTTGAAAAATGATTTAATTGGCAGCTTTTTCAATAGATCGGTAAAAATACGCGATCTTTTCAAGAAGAAGTTTAAAACGCGATTTCTTCAAAATTTGAAAAAATTGTTTCTATTAATATACTCTGTTTTTTTTTTTTTGGAAAGTTCAATATCTTTTTCATGTTTTATAAAATTTCTATTTCTATTTTTATTTCTATTCTCCCAAAACTTTCTTTGGTTCTCTGCTATGGATATGTTATGTATTTTTTTGGGTGGTTATGGGTAGACCATAGTTAGCAAGTATGGGGTTAGACTATTTCTTTCTAAAAAGATGAAAATTCAATTCACCTAGCCCATACTTAACTTGATGAATAGAATATATAGCGATTTAGATATATATCACATTGAATATTTGAAATTTATATTTATAGGGAGGTCATTTTTATACAGAGTGATATATATATAGAGTGAAAGCATTACTCCTTACTACTATTAATTTTTTCTATACTGAGTGATATATATATATTTAGAGTTTCAAAATTTCTAATATTTTAAATATATCCAACTTTTTGACTCCGGTTTGAGCCTAGTCCGATATATTCGCAATCTCTATACATGGAGTATTTTTGCCAATCCATATTTTTTACACGATTTTTTTATCTGACTTTTTAAAATAAAAACAATTAGTTTCTGATTTCATGGTAAGCCAATTTATTGATAATCCTTGACTTGCTAACTATAAGCACAACAGAGTGCCAAGCCCGTAAGTTCCTCAAATCAGGGGTATAAAATTTATTTGGTGTTCATCTAATTTGATCTTAAATCTAATCTTACACCACCAACCCCCAAGAGGCACATAGACATACACATAGACACAAACATGAGAGAGAGAGATAGATGGAAATTTATCACAAAAAAAAAACAAATTTATATTTTACCTACATTTTTAATTGAATTCCAAAATACCCAGAAAAATAAATATGGTATTGAAATGAAATATTATAATATTTTATAATATTATATTATATCATATTATATTATATTATATATTATATATTATATATTTATTTTATTAATATAATTTATATTATATAGTACATATTGATTACATATTATATAATATATTGATCACTGGAAAAGTATTGTTTCAAGTGCCTAATCATTTTCTCTAAAACCCAATTATGCTTATAATATTTTTTTATTTTATTGTTTATGTTACAATATAAAAAAACAATACATGTAAATTTTAAACATTTTTTACAATTTTTATGAGATTTTTTGAGTTTTTTGGGATTTGTTTTTACCAAAATTACATTTTTCATAAAAAAAATCAGGGCACTAATCTCTCGATCTAGTCGGAATCAGTCGGACTAATCAGATCAGGGCAGGATCAACTAGAGTAAACCTTCCGAATACCGGCCGCTATAATGAATAGTAACATAGGTGAAATCTCAACCGTCAGATCATTATTGAGTGGTTCAAAATA